TTTTACATACTGTCACCAGTGCAGTACAGCGTCTTCATATAACTGGCATGGCGGTGAACATTGACACTGACTGGTGACAGTATGAAAAAAAAAAATATATATATTTTTTTTTTTTTTTATTATATTTAATTTTTTATTACATTTTTTTAAAGATTTTTTTTTCATATTTTACTATGACCAAAGTAGTACAATGTTACCATAGTAACATTGTACTACTTTGGGGGAGTGATCAGTATTTTTTTTTTTTTTTTTTTTTATACACAGTTTGCTTATAGCAAAGAATTACTTTTCTATAAGCAAGCATTTAGCTGAATGAAATCGATTCGTTCAGCTTTTTTTTTTTTTTTTTTTTTTTTTTTTGTGCTTAGCTGTGATTTGGTCACATGTAATCACATGACATGTGCATGTGACCTGCTGTGACCATTCACAGCTAGGCACTAGTATACAATGGATGGCATCATGAATGAAGCCATCCATTGTATACAACTATCATGTGACCTGCTGTGATTGGTCACAGCAGGTCACGTGGTACCAGCTACGGGAGCCGGTACTCGGATCTGTCATCGGCCGTGTCCGAGGTGCACGGCCCGTGACAGATCCCGCTGCTGCGCCGCTCTGCTGTGCCGCAAACTGTGCATGTGCGGGAGCACGCCAAATGGCGTGCACCCGGAATACAGGAGCGCATTTCAAGCCGCCAAATGGCCATTGGCCGGGTGGCTAATGGTTAACATGTGAGTGGCCTTAATCTCCGTTTGAAAAAAAGTTACTATTGTGTGACAATATTATGCTATGTGAGTTTTTTTTCCTTTTGGTTGAATGGTGGAGTCTATTCGGAGGGTGAAGATTTTCCCTAGCGTGGCACCAAAGAGGGTTTAGGATCCCTAAAATTCCTTAAAGGTCTTTTACTCACCAAGTTCTGGTGAGTGTATTTGATGTTGGTTTGTGCATGGGTGGAAGGTGAAAGTATTTTTAAAGAAAGATTGAAGAAAAGAAGTTCGCACTTTTATTTCAACAATTTAATTATGTTTTCAGCACATGGACTTTTGGGTGTTTTGTTTAAGAGTAAGGATAAGCACTATTAATCTATGCACCTATTTTATTTACTATATGAGTGATTAATAATCTAATTTTGCGCTGTTTATTTATATTTATATTGTTTGTGTTTTCACGATTTGCACAGCAGCAGTTTTAGAGTGTTATTCTGAAAGTTTTGGCGCAGGAATAAGTTTTTTTGTATAAAAAGTTTTTTTGTATAAAACTTAAGGGATGCAGCCGAATTGCATGATGCTTGAATACAAGATGGGGGCTGAGAAAAGTGGATGTAAACCTCAGACATGAAATATGAGCAAAGCATATCCCTCTATTGTGTGTACTTGTCTCAGTCCAGAGCACTGAGTGTCATTTCTTCCTGCTGCTATTAGCATGAGTTACTTCTGACATGTTTTCCTGACATCAAGAGAAAAGATGATGACAGGGGAGGGATCTCCAGTAGATTGACAGCCTCAGCTCTTTCCTGTGAGCTGTGTGAAGGAGGGTGTGTCCCTCCAATCAGCTCTGAGAGTTCTCACTTAGCTCTACAGTGTGTAATTTCAGCTCGCTGCCCCTTGCTTTCTGAACTTTCAGACAAGTCTTAAAAATTCTGCACTTTGCAATGCTGTAGAGAATAGAAGACTGCAGATAAACAGGTACAACTTACAAAGGAGGCTTTCCTTCATCTCTGTTTATTACCTGAGGCCATTCACTTCACTGGGTGTATTTAAGGACCACTTTAAGGTCAGACATAATTTAGCAGTGTTAGTATGTGCCTGTTAAGTTAACAACTACTGGATATAAAATGTACTTATTTCCCTACCTTAATCATTTATTTTAATTTTTTTATTTAGGACTCAAGTCATGTACAAGCAAATGCTTGCATAAACATCTCCCAAACAATGCTGGGTGAGACAATACATTACTTTGGACAAAGAAAGTCAAGAAAAAATTAAATATTTCAAAATGTTCAAGACACATATTCATATTTCACATTTCTCCAGCAATGTTAAGCTCTTCTGCAGCCTATTGGAGATTTGTCCATCATTTGAAATAAAGGAGGTGGTTGACACTTGTATCATGCTATGTTTTCTCTATATAAACTCTTCATTACTGACACAGGTTAGTATGTAGGGATTGCCGATAAGAGCAAAAGGGTAAGAAGTGGGGATAGAGTAACCCTGCAGAAAAGTGAAGAAAGCAGAGACTGAAGGAATAATAGGTATGGGGGAAAATATTAGCATGGTCATTTAAGGGAGGGAAAGGGGGGAGAAAAAGGAAAGATGCAGGAGTATGAACATGTAGGAGAGTTTTAGACAAGAAGGTCTCTTGGGGGTATAGACAGGCAATTGACAAGCATACTCAGCTAAGATGAGCAGGTATGGTGGATGACTCCTACTGATGGTCCTAGTAGGGACAATGAGAGTCAGCGTATTCTTTATAGAAGACAAATAAATGAAGGCTTTCCATGGGTACCAATATGTTCCAAAATGTATTATTGACGGAGGCTGTAAGATCTTCCTTCTACTCAATCTCATTGTTTTCAGAAAACCATAAGGAGATTGGAGGGGTTTCAGTCTTCTTCTACACAGTGGGTAGGCAGGCTCATGCTGCATTCAGTAGGTGCACTGTTGATATGAAGCAAGATATCCAACTGGAGTACATCCTAGGTCTACTTAAAGTGAATTAAAGCATTAATTTGTGGCCTGCAGACTGGAATGGATGAATCAGAGCACCTCCAAAAGATTGCAATTGATTGTAATTTGTATCATCAAAGTAATGGGAACTTGTGGGTAGACTTTGTTGAGTAGTACCAACGTGACAGTAATTTGAAGCTTTGTTCCTAAAATCTCACTGGAAATCACGGAAGATTTATGTTCAAACAAAATTGCTCTATCAAATTGCAAAGGGGAGAGTAATGTTTGCAATTAATTTTTCCATTTGCATATGTACAGGAAGACAATTCCCTCGGGTATAGAGATTGTATAAGTTGGTGACCAATATGGAACATTGAAGTTTACTCGACATAGGTTCTCAAAGGAGGTAGTAGATCTCGAAAGCCAGTCTTGATCAAGTATGGCTCTCAAAAAATTTCTTAATTCATATGCACATTAAACATCTAAGGGTGGAGAGATAAGGTTTTGGATTTCTACCTGGGTCATCCATCTGTTTGGGGCTAAGAAATGTAGAAGTCAGCATCTGCCAGTGTCCATGAGGCACCTATGATTCAGATGATACAGTACTTTCTTCTGCTACCCCACTGCTCTGGTTTGAGATTACATAGGGCTAAGGGCTATTTACTGACCCCAGGTGTTAGATCAAGGGCCTGGAAATTAGCACCCAACACTGCATTTTGGAAGTAAAGCGAGTCATATCTTCGTCAAAACCATGCAAAAACAGTACATGCATACACAGGTCTTTGATTTAAGATCTCTTTCACTTATTTACAAAATCATGGCAGTACAAACCAATCATGCTCCCATTTAACACACTGATGGTTTGGACCATGCCAAGTTGCCAAAGGAGCTTTCACGCTGGCACCAAGCACTAAATAAGGAGTGCGCTCCGAAAGTACAAGTACTGTATCTTCATCACAACCAGAAGTATTAGATATTTCACTTTACTCTGATGGACAAGTAGAGAAGAAAATAGAGCAAATAGAAGACGAGGACAAGGATTTAAATAGACTCTGTAATTCTGGGGATCAGAAGATGCCATGCTGCAGGCATCTAATCCAGCATACCGCCAAACCTTCCTGTCAAGTTTGATTGCTTGGCCATTCTGATTTGTAAACCTCCAACACTTCTGTGTTGTGGCAAAGTTTGATACTAAGTTGTGCCCCACACATAACTTTTAGCCGGTCACTACAATGGTTAGTTCCACTGGCCAATGGGAATGTGAAGGAGGTAGGAATAGTTGGGTAAATTTGACACTAGCTGGAAGTGCCGGAACTTCATGGACCAGCACAAAGCACTGGTTTACCTGTAGGTGCTAGTACAACGTGTACACATGTCAAGGGCTACTTGGCACAAGCAACCACACAAATTTCCGCTTTGTAAATGGTGGATGTTATAACGGAGTACAGCAACCATTGAAATGTAACAGTTTCACCTGCTGTACAGCAACCCAAATGTATCATTTCACCTTTGAAAAACCAAAGTACATAGAAGAATAATGCAGCTATGCTTTGCAGGCACAAACTCTATTTTTCACCAAACTGCTGACTTTGTATCATCAGAACCCTGGTACCATTTGAAATAAGACTTTATAATAAAATGTGGTATTATTGCAAAAACTGGAGAGAGCAATTGCAAACAAAATAAAAATGGGACACAGCTTGGACACAGATAAGTAGCGGGTAAATGTAGGAACTACAAAAGCAGCAGTTTTATACCAGATGTTTTATTGCGCTGTCAGTGTAAGCCTTATTATAGTTCCCATGCTTTAATACTCCTCTCTTTTCCTATACTAATGAGCTGATTCTCTGCTGGAAATCCCATTAGCCATATGTTTCATTAATATAGCCTGGGAACATTGTTACATATGGTGGAAATGTCAATTCTATGTGCATAAACAGATTTGCCCTTCTAAACTAAAGCTAGAAACTAGATCTCTGACCTACTTATGAAAATGCTAATTGTCTGGCTGTCTATGGCCTTAGTACTTTTTAACCACTTGCCTGCTGGGCACTTTTACCCCCTTCCTGCACAGACCAATTTTCAGCTTTTATTGCTGTCGCAGTTTGAATGACAATTGCTCGGTTATGCAACAACTGTACCCATACAACATTTTTAGCATTTTTTTCACACAAAAGAGCTTTTTTTGGTGGTGTTTAGCCACTGGGTTTTTATTGTTTTCACTATAAATGAAAAAACAGAAAATGTAGAAAAATAAAGTTTTTCTTTTTTTCTATTATAAAATTGTACAAAAAGGTAATTTTTCACCCTTCACTGATGTGCGTTGATGAGGCTGCACTGATAGGCAGCACTGATGAGCACTGATAGGCAGCACAGATAACTAGCACTGATGGGCCCTGATAGGCTGCACTGATGAGGCTGCACTGATGAGGCAGCACTGGTGGGCATTGATGAGGAGGCACTGATGAGGCTGAACTGATATGCAGCACTGATGGGCACTGATAGGCAGCACTGAAGATCACTGAATGGCTGCACGGACTGATGGCACTAATAGGCTGCACTGATTGGCGGCACCGATGGGCACAGATTGGCAGAACTGCTGGGCACAGATTGGCAGCACTGCTGGGCACTGATGGGCAGCAATGTTGGGCACTGATGGACACTTTTGGGGCTGTGCTGATAATAAGGGCACTGATAATTAGTGCCCTGATTATCAGTGTCAACGCCTCCTTTGACAGTTGCCGGTTATCGGCAGTACTTACCTCATGCTGTGACACTGCGAGGAAAGCACTGCCGATAAACTGCAAGTATATTTACATCAGCTGCGGTTGGACACAGTTGGTCATGTGGTAAAAAGGCCGCTGTGATTGGACACAGTGATCACAAAGAGCGCCGGGTGCAGGCAGCTGGGGGTGTGAGGGGAGCGTGTTCTAGACAACTTTTGTCATTCAGCTATAGCGCAATCAAAAAGTGGTTAAATTACTGAACTGGAATAAGCTTTCAGCTAGTGAAGAGGTAAGTCAGCAACTAGAACTTCTCGGTACAGGTGCACGATCAAATTTACACCCTCAAAACTAAATACTGAAAGATGTACCCAAAAAGGCAACATACATTGACGGAATAGTCACTTGTATTGCCCATGGTTTCCCTGCAGCTGATTTCTCCATTACTGACTTACCATGCCTTGTTCTGCACTGTGCCTCTGTGTGGCAACGGCCATCTCTGTAGAGGCAGGGCTTTGATTCATAATCTCAGAGCTGCCCCCTGATGACTGGTAGGGGAATATTCAAGAGGCAGCAGAAGTGGTTCAGATGGACTAGATCCACTGGATAAACCAGGAGCAGGGGCAGGGAGATATGTGTGTGCAGATCATTGGGTTCAGCTTTCTCTCCAGCAAGGAGAATTATGAATAAACGAGCAGTAACATCACCAACCTCACGACAAATCTGGTTGAACTAGCAGCCATAGGCACAGTGCCTTAGATTCACACAGCAGATATACAGTTATAACACAATGAAGGCACAGGAGTGCCTAGGCACAAAAAGTGTACTGCAGGTTTTTTTCCAGACAAAAGAAGATTTTTCAGGGTATTGCTAGGCACAATTACCATTTCTTGGTGTTCCTTATAAGAATACAGACCTTCAGTTTTTTTGGATTCAGGTCAATTGTAATATATAGGGTTTTATTTCTTATTTTATGCTAAAGAACAGACATGGTGCCATTTAGATGAGTACACATTGCCGCACCCAAGATGCTTTGCAGCAACTTTAACACTACATGCCAGTAATTTTAACGCGTCATGCTGAGTTTGACAGGCAGCACTACTTGTCAAATTCTCCCATTTAAATGAATGGGACTGTGCTGTAACTGCCAGCCAAACTGCTGTGATGCAGTCCCTCAAAGCAAAAAAAGCAGAAAATAACAGGCATCAGGAAATGGCACATCGCCGCCTACACCCCTCCTGCAAAACCACCTTTCACTGTTCTCTGAAAAAGTGATCCCACCATGGATGGTAGGTTGTCTTCATCTATTTTTTATTACATTTGCATTCAAATGTTGGTATAAAACTGCTAGAAAAATTGCCATATATAGTATATGCCAGCATTAGACTTTAATACTGAGTGTAGATTTAACGGAAGACCACTGGATGTCCCAGAGAGCTATAAGCTGAGAAAGCAGAAGATGACCCAAAAAAAAAGATACAAGTATTTATTTAACATGTATTTATGTATCTGATGGATGAATAATATTAAAATATTATTTAAAGGATAAATTCACATTTATAAAAAAAATGCACATCGTTTTGCAAGTTAAAAAAATGTGCATTTATCATTTTTTTTACTGGTAGCCTGCAAAAACAGTGCATCAGCAGATTGCAGGTGCAATGCAGGACTCCTGCAGACTGTCCGTGTAAGCTGTCTGCTCATACCTTGTAGGGTCAGGCAGTTGCACACTGACAGGAAGAAAAAATTAACTACCTAGAGCACTCAACAGCACCCTAGTAGTTCACAGAGAACTACAAGTCGACAGCCGCAAAGGCTGTCGGTACTTGTAGTTCTCCCATTCACAGATTTCTGTGAATGAATGATGCGGCCGGGTGGGCAAAGCCCTGCACTGCCACCTTTTTTGTTTTAAAAATTGTGATTAGTTTGGGGAGATCCCCAGCTTGCTGTCACTAAAGGCGGTGGGTTAGGGGAGCAGCTACAGCAGCAGTGAGAACATGTTACATGTTCCATCTAAAAATGGGTATAACGTGTAACATGTTCCCAAAGGTGAGCTTATCCTTTACAACACATAATTGGAAAAAAAAGCCCTGCAGTGAGTATTATGTAGAGGACACGTTCTGTTTTGGATTTTCACCCATTTGTCCTAAGTATGAGTACAGAAGAGAAAAGGCTGTCTGGAAAGGTAACAAAACCCTCTGAGAAGGGCCTGCGTCTGTGAGAGGGGCCACATGAACCCTGAGCAGGGATAGCAATATGAAATATTGAGGGTTAGCAATATGGAATATTGAGGGTTATAGCAATAAATAGGAAATATTGAGGGTTAGCAATAGGAATATTGACGGTATTATCAAATAGGGTTAGCAATATATTGAGGGTTAGCAATAGGAATATTGAGGAGATATCAATAGGAAATATTGAGGGTTAGCAATAGGAATATTGAAGGATATCAATAGGAAATATTGAGGGTTAGCAATAGGAATATTGAAGGATATCAATAGGAAATATTGAGGGTTAGCAATAGGAATATTGAGGGATATCACTAGGAAATATTGAGGGTTAGCAATAGGAATATTGAGGGATATCAATAGGAAATATTGGGGATTAGCAATAGGAATATTGAAGGATATCAATAGGAAATATTGAGGGTTAACCAATAGGAATATTGAAGGATATCAATAGGAAAATATTGAGGGTTAGCAATAGGAATATTAAGGGGATATCAATAGGAAATATTGAGGGTTAGCAATAGGAATATTGAGGGATATCAATAGGAAAATTGAGGGATAGCAATCTGAAATAGGAATAGCAAGAAAAATTGAGGGACAGCAATAAGAATCATTGAGGGATAGCAATAATAATACTTGAGGTATATCAATAGGAAATATTGAGGGGTAGCAATAAGAAATATTGAGGGATAGAAATAAGAAATACTTGAGAGATTAGCAAAGTACATTGAGGGATAGCAAGACATATTGAGGGATAGCAAGAACATTGAGGAGGGATAGCAAAATGAAATATTGAGGGGGATAACAAGAACATTTGAGGGATAGCAAATGAAACATTGAGAGGATAACAAGAACATTGAGGGATAGCAAAATGAAATATCGCGATGGGATAGCAACGAAACTATTGAGGGATAGCAATATGAAGATATTGAGGGGATAGCAAATAAGAATATTGAGGGATAGGAGAAAATGAGGGGATAGCAAGATCTGAAATATTGAGGGATGGCGAAGAGCATTTTGAGGGATAGGAATTCTGAAATTATTTGAGGGATGGCTAAGAACCATTGAGGGACAGGATAACCATGACACATTGAGGGAGAGAAACAATAAGAAATATTGAGGGGTAGCAATAAAATAAAAAATATTGAGAGATAGACTGAGGAACATCTGCATAAAATCCCAGAAGCTTCATCTACTAGGGCTAAAGCCTGTCCCACGTTTGAAGTGTACAGTAAGTTTGATGGGCACATGCCAGATGATATGGCATCATGCACCTCTTCTCAAGGTCCCTCTGCACTGCTATGCTAGGTAATATTAATATCTGCTACCATTTCAAATATGGTGGACGTTGGCCGCAAATATGCTGTGGTGGCACAAGGACAGTCCCTGGAAGGAAGGAAGGATTATGGTAATGTGCAGCCTTTGAACTAGCATTACAAGAACCTGAAACAAGGCATCTTACCGACATTCTGGCAAGAAGTATGGTTGTGATTTGGGATCAGCATTTTGACATGAAACACTAATAACAAAGTATCATTCAGACACTGCCATTGCAGCATCATTCATGTTTACTAGTACCAAAAAAACGCTCTTTAGACATACCATCATGCAGACATGGCTGTGTGATATCATGCAATAAACCCTGGTAGTGTGGTATGAGGCAGACACTGGAAGGGTGGTGTAAAATAAGTCTAGACACATGGTAGTTGTGCATATGCATGAAGACACAAGAGACAAGGTTCTTGAGGATGCAGGCTACATATGAAGCATATAATAATCACTCAAAATTTCAATGTTTTATCACAACTTTTCATGCTATACCAGGTGAAACTCGAAAATTAGAATCATCGTGCAAAAGTTCATTTTATTTCAGTAATGCAACTTAAAAGGTGAAACTAATATATGAGACCAGACTCATTAACATGCAAATGAAGATAGTTCAAGCCTGTGATTTGTCCATAATTGTGATGGATTATGGCTTACAGCTCATGAAAAACCCCAAAATCCACAATCTCAGAAAATTAGAATAATTAAACATGCAATCAATAAAACAAGGATTGTACAGTAGAATATCAGATATTGGCATAGAACATTATTGACAGCTCAAGGAAAGCTGACACATTTTGTGTGAAAACAATATCCCAATTAATAGTTGATGTGAATTAATAGGGAATAAACATGTACACTAATTATGATTATCATTAGCCCTATTGATGAGGCTGTAGATCCCCAAAATGTGTTGGTTCAGTTAACAGGAAAGTAAAGTTGGTTTCTGTTGCACTTTCATCTTAGTGAATGTTTTGTATTGATAATAACAAGTTATTATTTGTAAAATAGAAATATTAAAAACATTTTTTTAAAAATCAAACCAGAGTTTTAAAAAACAGATGATCTTAAAAATAATATAAATTGATCCCACAAACCATTAATGTTTCAATTTAAAGCTGAACTCCAGGGCAGAACTCTTCCTCCCCACTAGCTTGCCTCACCCCCACTCCCCACCCACTAATTGGTAGGTTGCTAGATCACAAAAAATAGTCCTAAAAACCCCCCAAATTTGAAACAGTGGTCAAATAACTAGTTTCTTCTTCATTGAAGAGAATTACTTGATACTTCTTTTTAGTGTCCAAGTAAACTGCTGAAGTTGAAGTGGAAGCTCTGCAATTGGTACCGTCAATTGGCAGGGTCCTTTATGAAGACTGAATACTGCTGATCATCATCAGGAAGATTCAACCACAGTCCAGTGTCATGGCTGATTGACCAAAGTTGTAGTTTCTGGAAAAAAGGGGCATGACAGCAGCAGACCTAGGTAAGTAAAAAAGAAGAGACATCTAAAACTAGCCTTTCTCAACCTTTTCAACACAGAGGAATCTCCATTGAATAAACTTTCCAATCTCAGGGAAACTCTTGATAAAAAAAATGAACTTTATCTACAACTCATGATACCTTAGTGTGATGGTCAGTGGGAAGAATGCTCCTTGTACTTGTGGTTCATTGGGAAGAATTACCCTACTAGCCGTTAGCTGACAGCTAGCTAACAAAAACTGACAGAAGCAACATTTGTGTTTCATTCCAAAAACTGAATTTTACTTCTTCTGTGATAGTTCTGAGTAAAACCGCAATACAATTGCATAAACTGAAGTTACTGAAACAATATGCTTGAATACAACATTGTCCCTCACAAATTGCATACAATGAATACATTTCTTTGAAAACAGCTACCTACAAATCACACTGGGAATATATTTAAATGTGATCTAGCTACGTACGTGACATTGACAAGCTCAATAAAAGAACTTACAGGCATATGTGTATCAAAGGGAATGGAGGATTACCTTCACTGGGTTCTTCTAGAAGCTGAAAGGGCTGCAGTTGTTTTATGGGAAATCTGTATTTTTAATGCGTTACTAAACCCAGGACCCTGCATTCACTATAGCTGGTCTCCACAGTACATAGATCATGGAAGTGCAATTATTTTAGTAAATATAAAACTGCTATCTAAACCTTTTCTCATCAGAAGTCAGAGCCAGTAAGTCTTGTGACTTCTATCTGTGTCCAAGCCCAGCACTATCTAAAGCTTTGTAGAAGTAGTTTTCTTTCTGAGCATATGCATGCCTACGGTTTCAGTCTGGAGAAAAGTGGCGGTCGCTTGATAAAAGGGGGAGGAACAGAGAAGAAGGATCAAACAGCCTTTTTACACAATGCAGAGGATACAGATTCCACAGTGAGTATAAGGGCTCCTGTACACTGCAACAGATAAACTCATGTTTAGGAGGTGTTCAGTGTTTTTTTCAGCAGCCCTGAACTCACCTAATGTTTTCCTATGTGTCCATGCGTCACTTCTTCGTTTACAGTCGTTTACAGGCGTTTGAGTTTACAGTTGTATTTTGGATTGAACGCAGAAAACTTGCGTTCAGCAGTCGATTTTATCAGCGTTTATCATTCAAAATGCAGCTAGACGTGGCAAATTGCTTTTATAAGTGTTTGAAATTTTTTTTTAACTCTTCCAGTTCCCGATGCTGTCCAAACCTTTTTTCATCATGAAAAAAATGCATGCAAAAGCGTTTTCAAGGTACTCAAATGGACAAAACCCTGAACACAAAGATGTTCCTACCAAGCTTGTCACACATTGTAATGACCAATTCACACCTCAGACCTCTCCCTACCTTGGAAACAAAAAAGATATGTTAATGACCAAAATCACTCCTCAAATTCCTCATGAAAGACACCCTGCCAGGTGACCTGAATGACTCCACCAGACACCTTTCCACCCTTGGAAACAAAATAAATGTTAATGAGCAACTCACACCTAAGCTAATCTCAACACATACTGCTGTCTCTGCTTCTACTCTCTGTATTTCTCTGAAACAGTCTGAATTAGTTAATAATTTACCACTTTTCAGTGCATTCTGGGCATTTGGGAGGTTCTCCTGTGCTTATGTTTAAAAAAATGCTTCTAAACGCAAACGCGCATAAAACTGACGTTTTTTAACCTACGTTTTCCAGCAGTCAGTTTCCATTGTTCAGAATAAACGTGTCCCGTGTACATGGGGCTAGCAAGCATGCTTTAGTGTATATACAGACTGATTTTACTGTTGGTGGGTTTAGTAACACTTTAACAAACATGAAACACTTCCTGTTCTTGTTGAAAAGGGAATAATAAAAAACTGTACTAACTTCTCAAATAGCGAAGGAACTCCAGTGGTAAAAATATCTCCACCAGAATCCGAAGCCCTACCCAAAAGCTAAAATTTGATCTCCCTCCTACGATGAATTGTACACAATGTAATTTTTAGTTGCGTAATCAGGTTGAAGCTATTGAGTCCAACCTAAAAAAAGAAACCTATAACACAGAAGATCCAGAGTAAAGCACGAATCTTTCTAAATAAAGGGATTCTTAAGCTTTTTACTTTCAAAGCTGTTAATAGCTTGGTTTTACTTTTCATATTTTAAATCTAGGAACAGAATAGCAGAAGGAAAACCATAAGCATTTTATTGTATTTATCGATATAACAAATGGCAAATCACAAATATACACGCTAGCTATAATTAGCGAAATTTCCTGGGGTTTTTTTGTGCAATGAAATCATGGAATTGGAGCTCCAGTTATTGACAATGTTGAATCACATGTCATCCGAACACATCAAGTTCATTTCTGCACTTTAATTTCATATTCAAATTAAAAAAGAATCCTCTTTAATTTTTTTTAATTATTCAGTGATCCTGTCCCATACCCCATCATCTGGTTCCTATATACCCCCAAAGGGATATGGATATTCCTGGATAAGGACCCCTGTTATAGAGCATGGTACAATTTTCTCCAACAGGAATTTCTTTCTGTCCCCAAAATCAAATAACTTTCCTGGTTAAAGTCAGGGGCGCCCCTAGGGTTGGTGTTACATGGTGTGATAACACTTGGTGTCCCCCTCTGACGATCCCCGCAGGATGGATCGGATCTGCAGATTGAGCATAATGGATCAGAGTACGATCCAATATGCTTCCCAATCTGCACATCCGATCCATCCTGTGGGGATCATCGGCTTGCAACCTATACAGGGTTAACTGATCGTTCCACGCAGAGCTCCACAACAAGGTAAGTTTTTTCTCATCTGGAATATGCAGTTCAGTTTTGGACACCAATTCACAAAAAGAACATTGGGGAACTGGAGAAAGTACAGAGAAGGGCAACCAAACTGATAAGAGGCATGGAGGAGCTCAGCTATGAGGAAGATTAGAGGAACTGAATTTATTCTCTCTTGAGAAGAGGAGATTAAGGGGGGGTATGATCTCCATGTATAATACATAAGGGGGGATATGATCAACATGTATAATACATAAGGGGGGATATGATCTCATGTGCCATGTATAATACATAAGGGGGGATATGATTCTGTCTCCATGTATAATACATAAGGGGGGGGGGGGGTATGATCACCATGTATAATACATAAGGGGGGATATGATCTCCATGTATAATACATAAGGGGGGATATGATTCTCTATGTATAATACATAAGGGGGGATATGATCTCCATGTATAATACATAAGGGGGGATATGATCTCTATGTATAATACATAAGGGGGGATATGATCTCCATGTATAATACATAAGGGGGGATATGATCAACATGTATAATACATAAGGGGGGATATGATCTCCATGTATAATACATAAGGGGGGATATGATCTGTCTCATGTATAATACATAAGGGGGGATATGATCTCCATGTATAATACATAAGGGGGGATATGATCTCCATGTATAATACATAAGGGGGGATATGATCACCATGTATAATACATAAGGGGGGATATGATCTCCATGTATAATACATAAGGGGGATATGATCTCTATGTATAATACATAAGGGGGGGATATGATCTCCATGTATAATACATAAGGGGGGATATGATCTCTATGTATAATACATAAGGGGGGATATGATCTCCATGTATAATACATAAGGGGGGATTATGATCTTCATGTATAATACATAAGGGGGATATGATCACCATGTATAATACATAAGGAGGGATATGATCTCCATGTATAATACATAAGGGGGGATATGATCTTCATGTATAAATACATAAGGGGGGATATGATCACCATGTGTCATAATACATAAGGAGGGGTATGATCACCCTGTATAATACATAAGGGGGGATATGATCACCATGTATAATACATAAGGGGGGATGTGATCTCTATGTATAATACATAAGGGGGGATATGATCTCCATGTATAATACATAAGGGGGGATATGATCTTCATGTATAATACATAAGGGGGATATGATCACCATGTATAATACATTATAGGAGGGATATGATCTCCATGTATAATACATAAGGGGGGATATGAATCTTCATGTATAATACATAAGGGGGGATATGATCTCCATGTATAAATACATAAGGGGGATATGATCTCCATGTATAATACATAAGGGGGGATATGATCACCATGTATAAATACATAAGGGGGATATGATCTCCATGTATAATACATAAGGGGGGATATGATCTCCATGTATAATACATAAGGGGGGATATGATCTCCATGTATTAATACATACAGGGGGATATGATCTCCATGTATAATACATAAGGGGGGATATGATCTCCATGTATAATACATAAGGGGGATATGATCTCCATGTATAAATACATAAGGGGGGATATGATCAACATGTATAATACATAAGGGGGGATATGATCTCCATGTATAAATACATCAGTGGTTCATATAGTGAACTCGGTGTAGAGTTATTCACCCTGAGGTCATCACAGAGGACAAGGAGGCACTCTTTATGTCTGGAGGAAAGAGAGATTATTCTCCAATAATGGAAATAGTGAATGCAGGGTCCGGGGAGACCAGATATAGTGAATGTGGGGTCCAGGGAGACCAGAAAGAGTGAATGCAGGGTCGGGGAGACCAGATATAGTGCATGCAGGGATCCAGGAGACCAGATATAGTGAATGCAGGGTCTGGGGAGACCAGATATAGTGAATGCGGGGTTCTGGGAGACCAGATATAGTGAAATGCCGGGTCCGGGGGAGACCAGATATAGTGAATGCAGGGTCCGGGGAGACCAGATATAGTGAATGCAGGGTCCGGGAGACCAGATATAGTGAATGCAAAAGGGTCCGGGGAGACCAGATATAGTGAAGTGCAAGGTCCGGGGAGACCGGATATAGTGAATGCAGGGTCCGGTAGAACCGGATAGGAGTGAATGCAGGGTCCGGGGAGACCGGATATGGTGAATGCAGGGTCCGGGGAGACCGGATTATAGTGAATGCAGGGTCCGGGGAGACCGATAGAGTGAATGCAGGGTCGGGGAGACCGGATATGGTGAATGCAGGGTCCCGGGGAGACCGGATATAGTGAATGCAGGGGTCCGGGACCGATATAGTGGAGACCAGATAAGGTGAATGCACTGTCCGGGGAGAGCGGATATAGTGAATGCAGGGTCCGGGGAGAGCGCATATATAGTGAATGCAGGGTCCAGGGAGACCAGATAGAGTGAATGCAGGGTCCGGGGAGACCAGATATAGTGAATGCAGGGTCCGGGGAGAGCGCATATAGTGAATGCAGGGTCTGGGGAGAGCAGATAGAGTGAATGCAGGGTCCAGGGAGACCAGATAGAGTGAATGCAGGGTCCGGGAGACCAGATATAGTGAATGCAGGGTCCTGGGAGACCAGATATAGTGTATTGCAGGGTCCGGGGGGAGACCAGATATAGTGAATACAGGGTCCTGGGTTTAATAACTCTTTAATAGCCTCTTCTCAAGACACAGTTTGGAGAAGTTAATGTTTTTTTAATGAATTCTATACATGTTGTATGTGTGTGTGCGTACACACGCACGTGTATCTATTCATTTGGAGATTGCAGCTGTGTGAGAGAAACACTATGATTTTAACCCTTGTGGGTGGGCACAGAAAGAGAAAATATTGCTGTGGGGGGATTTTACCCATGGAGCCTCCGATAGATCTGTGGAAACCTGTGGGTGATTTATTTTTTTTGTGGTGTAAGAAAATATAGAGTTTATTGAAAAAAAATCATAAAAATATATTTTTTGACTTGTGGGTGATTTAACCCATAAGTGCCTTGGGTAGACTTGACACTTAAATCCCTCTTTCAGACCCTGCTTCTAAACAACACAGGACAACTGCTCTTCAGTCCAATCGGCTCATTTTATCTGACACATTCAGTGTAGATTATTTCTTTATTTTTGAAATTTCAACTGTTCCATCCTGTCACTTTCCTGCCTGTGAATCATGAAACTGTAAAGCACATAAAATGATAAAAGAACTAAAGGAAGTGGTTTTGCTGCAAAGAAAGAGATTAGAATCAGTATTTCCCCTCTTGTAGCATCACTATCAGCAGAACGCAGGAGGAGAGTGTGCAGCATCAACCCACTGCAGAGTGTACATCACTTCTCTCTATAGATAAGGTGCAGCATACAAATCTCATGGCTTATGGCCAACATCCATCAGTCTAGCCCAATGAATCAGAAAACTGCAATGCTGACTAGCTTTTGAAAGTAAATCTTTATTCTTAGCTCAAAAGAAAGTGATTTTTGAAAGTTTCTTTTTACACTGTTTGTGAAAAATTGGGGTTGAAAAAACCTAAGGGCTCTATCACACATATTTTGCTCTCTGAGTAGAGATCCATATTTTGATCGCTCTTCAGAGACATTTGGCATGCAATCAGGAGGCATTTATCTACTTATTTTAACACAAAGGGGGTTATTTACTACAAATGGAGAGTGCAAAATTTGGTGCACAGAAACCAAAATCAGATTCCAAATTTTATTGTCAAAGATTAATTGAACAAGCTGACGTTAGAAGCTGATTGGCTATCATGAACAGCTACACCCAGTTTTAGTTAATCTCCCCCAAAGTCTCTAGGTCTAGAACAGAGACTGATATACCGCCGTTCCAATTACTCACACAGAAGTCAAAAACAGTTGCCCATGAGATTTTTTGGAGGTCATACACACACAGATATAAAATATATAAAAAGTCACCAACTTTATTAAGAACAAATCAGGATAAAATAGATTAAAAAAAGAAATGCATCAAACAATATTACAATTTTCCACTTTTCAGTAAATGATTGTAAACATTCTTCATACAGAAATTCATCAATACGTTGTGCCAATCAACAAGATGGAAAACATCATGGAGCTCAACGCTTTTCATAAAACATGGTTCACTTCATCAGGAGTTTGAGGTTGCTGATAAAGTGTAGCTAGATATAATAGGCAAGGTTCAAAAGAACTCATATTCTCAACAACATCAGATGAGACCCACAGATGGAGAGTCCATCCCGGGGCTTGTGGAGACGGGGGGGCTAATTAGGCCCTGTGGTATCACAGCTGGCTTACTCATTCATTGATGAAAATTGAGCACACTAGCAGAGCCACATGTCCCATGAAGAAACCCCTTGGATCCTGCTTGGCGTGTGTAAAACCCTGGAGGCTGTCTCTGCAGCTAAAGGGGGAAGGTAGTGGTCGGAAGACAAAGTAAAAGCTCAACCACACACTTTTACTACCCCTGAACCTCATGCGTGAATGAGCCCTTTGATCTAGAACTAAGTGGCCTTATGCCATTTGAAGTAATGTTGTAGTGTTTCTAATTTTATAGGGACTCTTTAACCTCCCTGGCGGTATGATTATTTCAGATTTTTGGTGCTGAAAGCGGTCCTTTATGGCTTACCATTTTTTTGCATGGAAATATGTATTTTTTTTATTGTTAGGCTGTAATTTTTAGGAAAAACTCACTGAAATCTGTCCGAACAAGAGTCTAGTAATCATCCCGGGTATGATAAAATTTGAAACACAAAAATCATAAATTATAATTTAATAAATAATCATAAAAATAATATAAAAATAATAAAAAATTTAATTCAATAATATAATCAAACCAAAAAACACTGAAATGTGAAATAGAGAGCGCCAAGTTCGCACATTGCTGAGCTCAGTCGCAAAATCGTTTTCAGTTTCTGATGACGAATTTCCCCCACGAATCATTATCACTCAATTCTGTAAGTGGTTCTGATTTACTATCGCTGTTCTCTAGCTGATCTAAACCGCTTTTAACCTAAAGGGACACTTTTGGACGCCATGGACATTTCTCAGTTTCCAGGCAGAAAGAAACAGACAAAATGCAGGCAGGGCGCAGGACAAAGCACTCGGGACAAAAATGTATTGTGAAATAGGTTGAAACAGCAATGTTTTACTGTGTAAAATGAAAAAAAAAAAAAATTGACATTTTTTTAAAATTTTTTAAATTTCCCGCCGCCAGCTTATGGCGGCGCGCGCCATACGTCCCGACGTCACAGGGACAGGACACAGAAGCCGGATGCCTGGCATCGGCCGGAGGAGATGGCCGGGGACGCTGCAGGGGACACATCGTGGGAGCGCAGGGTAAGGTAAGTGAAGAACACATACCGGAGCAGCGCCGCATGGTATTCCCGAGTGTAGCTCGGGGTTACGCTTTTGGTACTGAAATGTTACCCGAGCTACACTCGGGAATACCGCCAAGGAGGTTAATAACTGGCATAGTACCACTGGATTGGCATAAGGCCAACACGGTGCTATATTTCAAAAGAGATCAAAATCTTTACCAAGTAATCATAGACCTGTTAAACTTCTTTAGTTGGGAAGATACTGGAGAGTTTAATAAAAAGATCACATAGATGAGTTCTTGCTGGAAAAAAATTTATTTTAAGCAAAAGTCAGCATGGATTCATGAAAGACAGAAGATGTCAAACAAATCTGATTTCTTTTTATGAAGAGGTGAGCAAAAACTTGGACAGAGGTGGGTAGCGGTGGACGTGGTATACTTGGACAGAGGAGGTAGCGGTGGACGTGGTATACTTGGACAGAGGGGTGGTGTGGTGGACGTGGTATACTTGGACAGAGGGGTGGCAGTGGGACGTGGTATACTTGGACAGAGGGGTGGCAGTGGACGTGGTATACTTGGACAGAGGGGTGGCGGTGGACGTGGTATACTTGGACAGAGGGGTTAGCGGTGGACGTGGTTATAACTTGGACAGAGGGGTGGTGGTGGACGTGGTATACTTGGACAGAGAGGGGGTGGCAGTGGACGTGGTATACTTGGACAGAGGGTGGCAAGTGGAGTGGAACTGGTATACTTGGACAGAGGGGTGGCGTGTGGACGTGGTATACTTGGACAGAGGGGTGGCGGTGGATGTGGTTTGATCAGGTATACTTGGACAGAGGGGTGGCAGTGGACGTGGTATACTTGGACAGAGGGGTGGCGGTGGACGTGGTAAACTTGGACAGAGGGGAGACGGTGGACGTGGTATACTTGGACAGAGGGGAGACGGTGGACGTGGTATACTTGGATTTTGCAAAAGCATTTGACACAGTTCCACACACACGACTAATGTGTAAGGTAAAGTCTACAGGATTGGAAAAATCCATATGTAAATGGATAGAAAACTGGCTAAAAGATCGTATCGAGTAGTGGTTAATGGTTCATACTCTGAATGGTCTGGGGTCATCAGTGGTGTACCCCAAGGTTCAGTGTTGGGACCCTTACTTTTTAATATATTTATAAACAATATAGGGTCTGAGATTAAAAATCCCATTTCAGTCTTTGCAGATGACACCAAGCTGTGCCGTGGAATAACGTCCTTACAGGATGTCTCCAACTTACAAGCCGACCTCAATGCAATGTTTACTTCGGAAACTGTATGGCAAATGAGGTTTCATTTTGATAAATGTAAGGTTCTGCACTTGGGGGCTAAAAAATATTCATGAATCATACATACTAGGGGAGAACAGCTGGGGGAATCAATGGTGGAGAAGAATCTTGGAGTTCTGGTAGATCACAAGCTTAACAATGGCATGCAATACCAAGCTGCGGTTTCCAAAGCGAGCAAAATCCTTTCTGGTATAAAGAGAGGTATAGACTCCAGAGAGAGATTATCATATTACCCTGTTACAAAATCATTAGTGAGACCTCATCTGGAATATGCAGTTCAGTTTTGGGCACCAATTTACAAAAAGCATGTTAGGGAACTGGATAAAATGCAGAGAAAGGCAACCAAAACTGATAAGAGCTATGGAGGAGCTCAGCTATAAAGAAAGATTAGAGGAACTAAATTTACTCTCGCTTGAGAAGAGATTAAGGGGAGATTCATTATATTACCAAAAGTATTGGGACACCTGCCTTTACACACACATGAACTTTAATGGCATTCCAGTCTTATCCGTATGGTTGTATTTGAGTATTGAATATTGAGTTGGCCCCGCCCTTTGCAGATATAACAGCTTCAACTCTCCTGGGAAGGCTGTCCATAAGGTTTAGGAGGGTGTCTATGGGAAGGTTTGACCATTCTTCCAGAAGCGCATTTGTGAGGTCAGGCACTGATGTCGGACAAGAAGGGCTGGCTCGCAGTCTCCACTCTAATTCATCCCAAAGGTGTTCTATCTGGTTTGAGGTCAGCACTCTGTGCAGGCCAGTCAAGTTTCTCCACCCCAAACTCGCTCACCCATGTCTTTATGGACCTTGCTTTGTGCACTGGTGTGCAGTCATGTTGGAACAGGAAGGGGCCATCCCCAAACTGTTCCCACAAAGTTGGAAAATTGTCCAAAATGTCTTGGTATGCTGATGCCTTAAGTTCCCTTCACTGGAACTAAGGGGTCAAGCCCAACCCCTGAAAAGACCCTACACCATAATCCCCCCT